TGAGCTACTGGAGTTCTAGAAAGATATGGGTATGCTTGCCATCTTCACTGGGTAACACATTCCAATTTTACTGACTCAAAACAATACATATGTAATATCGCATACAGTTTCTGTAGGGAGAAATTTAGGAGAGGGTTTTCTTGGGCCCCCTAGGACTTGGAGTCTTGTGAAACTCTCTTCTCTTTGCTGGGCTACCATTCCCTGATGCTTTGATGGTGCTGGAGGCTTCATCTGCCAGGTAGCTTATTCAAATGATGCATAGTTTGTGGTTGGCTATTGGCAGAAAACTTCAGTTCTTTTCTCTGAGAGTTTCCATGCAGAGAGGCTTCATATGGCTGAAGAGACAAGGTGGAAGCCACAGTGTCTTCTGGGTCTACCTCACAAATCACACATGTGTCCTACTGGTTGCATACATCAAGGCCATTCAGTATTGGGTGGGATTACACAACCCTGAATGTCAGAAAGTGATGGCTTTGGGGTCCATTTTGGAGGCAGGCTATAGCAGTGGGGAGAAAGAAATGACAGGGCCCTGGCCACTGAATTTGCCATTTATTGAAAAAGGTTGAAGGGCTGGGGATGTTGCTTAGCAGTGGAGTGCTTGCTTAGGATGTACAAAGCCCTGGATTCATTCCTGACACTGCAGGGGGAAAAAGGGAAGATTCTATAGCAGTGGAGTGTGTTTTTGAGGGCATTGTGGTCTTTTGAGTTTTAGTGAAACAAAACAAAACAAAACAAAACCAAGTACCATCAAAAGATGGCAGAAAGAAGACTGTTTAGGAATAAGAAGGACCAGTAGGATGAGGCTGGGGGACTGGAGAGGGCGATGAGATGGTAATTGAAGTATACTGTGTATGGAAATGTCATGGTGAAACCCATTATCTTATGAAATTCAAATTTACTAATAAAAATAAATTGTCATCACCCTACAGGTGGTGGGACCTGGGAGAATGGAGGGGAAAATGAGGCAGACCAAACCCTCATGAAATAGCCAACTTTATTCAGAACCTCAGACAATTTATGCTTTGAGGGTTAAGAAAGGTCATGACCTGACAGATCTACATGACCCCACCTGGATGGCATTGCCCTACCTGTGGAATTGGGGTGGGGGTATGGGAGGGGAGGGTGGTCAGGGTGCATGTGAGGGGGCAGAGAGGGTAAAAGGGGGGGAGGGAGAGGGAACTGGAATCAACATGTAAAATAATAAATTAAAAAAAAAAAGAATCTAAGCAATAGAGGAGAGGCTACCATAAATGTTCTTCCCCTCTAATGAGATTAATGAGTACCTTAAAAATTTTTTTTACAGCAAAAAAAAAAAAAAAATTGTCTTTTTTTAATTTCAGACAGCTGGATAGTGTGTTAAAAACATGGAATGTAATAATAAACTCATAAAATAAGCAAAAAAAAAAAAAAAAGGTCACCTGGGTAAAGTTCTCATGAGTTCAAGCTGTACTTGAACAAGGACATGTTGCATGTGTCAAAACATGTTTTTCCATAGAGGTATATAAAGGATAAATATTTAAATATTTATTTAAATATGTAATTTAAATAAATGGTATTCATTTAAATTATATGACAGTGTAATTATGTTGTTATGTAAATTATATAACAATAGCAAGCAATGGTGAGTAATATGAGATAAACTCACTCCTATCAGTTACACTTGAGAGGAGCATGAAAACCCATTCTGGACCAATTCTGTGTTTTGACGAAACTGAGGTCACAAGATTTGTCTCATGTTCTTGGTGTGTTCTCACAAGCGCTCATAATTTTCCTCACATGACTCTATTCCTGGGGCGTGTTCTGACTATAAGTAACCTGAAAACATGAGATTCTTACATAGTAGAGTTAAGTCAGAGGCTTGGATATCAGTATCAACTTCTGTTTCCTGCAGGTGAATGTTAAGGATCCTCATTTTCTAAGGCTCCTTCTCCTCAGTAGCCAGGTGGTAATGCTGACCCTGCAGCTCTCAGACTGATGAGAAGGAAGTAATGCAGGAATGGAGTATAAATGGAGGTTTCTCTCTCAGTTTCCAGTGCCTGAATAAACACTCTGAGGCTTAATATTAACTATAATTGTTTGGTCAATGGCTCAGGGATATTAGTAACAAGCTCTTACAGTTAAATTAACACATTTCTATTATTCTATATATTACCATGAGGTTTGTGGCTTGTTATCTCACATCTTGCTTCTCCAGTGGCTACATCACATCTCTCTGAATTTGCCTTTCCTCTCTCCATATCTATGTTTGGATTTTCCTCCTGGCTCTATTCTTCCCGGCCATTGGCCAAATCAGCTTTATTCATCAACCAATAAAAGCAACACATATTCATAGCATACAGAAGGACATTCCACATCATCTTCCCTTTTCTGTCTAATTAAAAAGGAAGGTTTTAACTTTAACAGTAAAATTATATATAACAAAACAGTTGTTAAGCAAGAATTACAATTACAAAATTTAGTTTATTTATATTTGGCAAAATTAAAGAAAACACTGTCCTGTTTTTTTGTGAATCTAAAGTTTTATATATAACCTAAAACTAATGAAACTATAATTATAACTATTTAATCTTCAACTCTATCAAAGACCCCAGAAGGATATAATATTACCTAAGTAAACTGAAAGTGCACTGTAAGCAACTTCCAAAACTCTAGAAATGACAGAGACATCTGGCTGCCTGAACATTCACACAAAATTCCTCTGCAACTCATGGGGCATCCATCTTCAACCTATAGGTCCAGAATGTTTGACAGACCATTTTCAGAAGCAGAAAATTTTGAAAGACTGTCCTACCCTGACTTGACAAGGTTCAGCAGTCTCTTTTCCTTGTGTCCTGCTCATCTGGAATGGACAGTGTGTTTACTGTCAGCAGCTGAGGCAAGGGCAGTTCTTTGCTCAGCAGGCCGTTATGCCAAGAAGAAGACAATTTCCATATGGAGTGTCTGGGTGCCCAACATTCTCTTGGAAGTAGATCGGTGTTGCCAGGAGCAATCGTGTCTCATGTCACCTATGAAACATTAGTGATGTAGTGTGTTCTGGGAAAATTAATTGTGATAACAAGAGATTTTTTTTTACCTTTTTTAAAAATTTAATTTATTATTTTACATGTTGATCCCAGCTCCCTCTCCCTCCTTCCCTCCCTCCCTCCCTTCTACCCTTTCTGTCCCCTCATATGCACCCTGACCACCCTCTCCTCCCATACCCCCACCCCAATTCCACATGTAAGGCAGTACCATCCAGGTGGGGCCATGTAGATCTGTCAGGTAATTTGAAGTAGGGACTAGGACCTCTCTCCTGTCTCTAGGCCAAGGCAGCATCCCTCCATGGGGGATGTGTTTGCAAGGTCCCTTTGTGTACCAGGAATACATCCTGGTTCCACTGTCTGAGGTCCCTTAGACTGCTCAGGCCTTCTAGCTGAGACCCATGTTCAGGGGGTCTCAGTCAGTCCTGTGCTGGATTCCCAGCTATCAGTCTGGGGGTCTGTCAGCTCCTCCTATAACAAGAGTTTTTTAAATGCATGGATTTGTGTTTGATATTTAAACCTCAAAGCAACTGGGGATATTTTTCGAACTGAGTTTTTTAAGACTGAGCTTTATTTTACTTTTGTGCTGGATAAACACACCAGTGACTGAATTTCATTGTTTTGAAGAGTTGTACTATCCAAACCTTGGGGCTGGCATGAGGTGTTCTGGAAGGAGATTTAAAGTTTTTTGACAGTTCAATTAGAGGCTTCTACAAAGGCTTTTCATGGAGGTTGGACCTTTACCCTGCCTGCCACTACCTCCTGGGCAATCCTGAGGTCTTGTCTGATGTTCTTTCTTAGGTCAGTGTTTCAAATTTAAGAATTCTGTCAAGATTATTTTATTATTAGGAGGCAAGAACTCAGTGGTGTCTGGTAGATGGCTTAGTCAGCAAATTGTTTCCTGGCAAGCATGAGGGCCTAAGGTCAGATCCCTATCACACACACACACACACACACACACACACACACACACACACACACACACACACACAGGAGAGAGAGAGAGAGAGAGAGAGAGAGAGAGAGAGAGAGAGAGAGAGAGAGAGAGAGAAGTCAGCTATGGTGCTGCATGCCTGTAACCTTAGTGCTGAGGGGCACAGGTAGGAAACCCTCAGACCTAGCTGGCCAGTCAGCGCCCATGTGCTTCCCTCCCCTGTGCCGCAGCCAGTGATGGGCTAGACCAGCTCTCCCATTCTCCTGAACTCAAGGCCAGCTTTCCTACCTGCCACATGTGGTGAGGGCTGGGGGACAGGGGAAGGTGAGGTGCAGTGCCTGCTCCCTCAAATGCTGCATCTGGTGAGGGCAGGGTTAGCTCTCCCACTCTCGTGACCCCAAGTCCAGCTTTCTCACCCATAGTAGGTGATGAGGGGCGAGGCGGGTGTATACCTTTTCTTAAGAGAAAACAAAGTAAGTGCAGACCCTCCAGTATGGGTATTTACAATTTCTCTTTCTTCCTTCCTTCCTTCCTTTCTTCCTTTCTTCCTTTCTTCCTTCCTTCCTTCCTTCCTTCCTTCCTTCCTTCCTTTCTTTCTTTCTTTCTTTCTTCCTTTCTTCCTTTTTTTAAACAAGAAGTTTATTTAAACAACAAGACGCTTGACTTGGAGGGAAAACTATCTAGGATCATTTTGTTCAAGAGTAATTTACCCCTACTTAAAGACAGATTGCCCTACATGTAACAGCTACATACAAAAAAGTTATAAAATTGTCCTTGGTTTTACAATGATAAATGAAAAACATTAAAATTCTCCAATCGAACAAGATATGCAAGGATTTTGTTGTTGGGTTCTTTTGTTAAAACACTGAGAGCAAAATAACTTACTGGAATATAAAGATAAGAGCTGAATGAGCATGCCACTATGGAGAAAGGGGGATATTTTCACAGAACCAGTATTTTATTCTCTCCCAGACCATCTCTATCTGATGTCAATCAAAACACAACATTGGCCATTTAGTTTAAAAAAGAAAAAAACGCGCAATATACTTGTGCACATACACCAGTTACTTTATGTACAATAAAGAAATGGGGACAGGGAAATGAAAGAATAGAAAAAACTATACTGTAGTAGTCAGGATGTGGCGGAACCAAATTGCGGCTTTCTAATTGCGAATGTATTCTTGGTCTATAACAAAATTCTGGAGTAAAGTAGCAGGTTCCCTTTTTAGTAGACACCTCCTGTTTGCTGCTGGAACACATCAATCGTATCTTCATCCTCCATTTCCAACTGTGCAGGTGTGTCTGTTTCATTGATTGGCTGTCCATCAAACCGGAATCTGATCTGCCTCATTGACAATCTCTGTCGTTCACAATAAGGCACCACAGAACCATCCTGCCCCGCCGCCTTCAAATTAATATGACCGGTCTTGACTCCTTCCTTGGGTTTCTCGTCGGCCATGGCGAGCGCCAGGGTCTCCTGAGCTGCCACTTCACAAAAGAGGCACAAAAGGGGCACGGGGTCCGCACCGAGGGAGCACACTGGCAGCACCAGCAGCGGCAGAAGGAGGCGGCCGCGGTGGACCGGGTATTTACAATTTCAAGATAGGTTTAAAGCTTTTCTTTTGGACATAGGGTCTTACCTTTTAGCCCAGGCTGGCCTTACATCGTAGTCCCCCTGCCTCATATTCTCAGATCCTGGAATTTACAGGTGTCTGCTAACAAGCTTCACTTCAAATTATTATTATTATTATTATTATTATTATTATTATTATTGTATGCCCTGAAAGAAAGCTTTACCAAGGTATAACTGGCTGCACTTCTTTTTCTGATTGGTCTGCTACAGATCAGGTGCAGTGCCCAGTGTCACTTTGCACCTCGGCCCTGACATGCCCTCTCTGTGAATGGTGGGGAAAAGCTAGGGGGCTCTGATGTTCTGCTGACTTCACAGGACCTTTCTCTTCCTAACCTCTTGAGCTTATTATGCATGCACACACTTTCCCACTGTGTCATGTTTAGCTTCCCTTTTCTTGTTATGTCAACGTAAATTTGAAATTGAGGTTACAGAAGTATCATTCTTTCAAGGTCATAGCCAGATTTGCTGAATTTTATCTTTTATAAGGTTTGTTATGGTTAATTAAAAAAAGACTTTAAAAATGATTAAAAAAAGACCTTAACACAGATATAGTTTCTGTTCATCAATCACATAAACACAGGACACATAAAAATAAAACTAAATTTAACTACATAAAAAAATGAGCTCAGCTTTGTCATAAAGGAACTTAGAAGAAAACAATTAGATGTGAGAAGATATTTGGAATTTTAAAAACTTGAGGCAGAGTCTTGTGAAGCAGTTTCCTCTAAGTTGAAACTTTCCATCTTAGATTTCTCCTTAAGACTTGGGAAGTGAAAATCTCCTAAGTTTCAGGAAGTCCCCGAGGCTTTTCCAGATGTCTCTCTTTCCTTTCATATTATATAAGAATAACAGACTTCTAAGGGAAACCCTTTCCCATGGAGCCCCTGCAGGTTGTGTAGAGAGCTTCAGGGTTCCAGTTTTCACAAGTCGTCACCTGTCCTGGGTTGGGTGATGCAGCTTTGGTGATGCAGCTGCCTTTGAGTTGTCCAGGTTTCTGTAAGTGACCCCTGATCCCACACCCTTCGAGTAGCCTCAATAAACTCATTGCTTCACAAAGCTGGGTTTTGGTGGTATCGTTACTTTGTTGATTTCCCATCCAGGGCAGTAGACATTTCTTTATGTTTCTCCAGGAGTAGTTTCATACAGCAGGTCTCCTAGCCGAGGAGGACCTATAACTCATTATGTAGAAATTCAAGGTCATCCAAGGATGACCTTGAATTTCTGATTCTCTTGCCTCTGCTTCCCAACTTTTATGATTATAAGTGCCTTCCCCCACAGTCATTGTTGCAGTATTTTTAGTTGAGTTTTTTGTTATAATTTATAGGGTCACATAAATTTCTAGGAAATAATATGCTGAGGGCCTAGGGTTTGACTCAGTGGTATAGCACTTGGCTTGCAGGGTATCTATGGGCTCCTGGGTTCCATCTCCAACACTACATAAAAAGTGAGAACCTTTGTCCATTACACCCAATGGAAACATCTTACAAGCTGAGTATAGATAGTATCACAGCAAGGATCTTAGCACTGATCCATTTTGGCCAGAGTTTCTTTATCCCCCCCAGCCCTGTAACATGTCAGACTCCCAGAACTTCAGCTTCAGAATTAGCCAACAGGCACCATTGTCTTCTGATTGGGTTGTATTCATTCTCTGAATGAATTTTTTTCAATGGTGTCTCAAAGTTAAAGCTTTTTTGTTTTTGTTTGTTTGTTTGTCTTACTGTGTGTTATGGCTGTCCTGGAACTCACTATGTAGACTGTGCTAGCAATGAACTCACAAGGATCTGCCTGACTCTGCCTCTCAAGTGCTGGGATTAAAGGCGTGCACTACTATCCTTGGTTCAAAGTAAAAGCTTTGGATGGGGGGTGATTTGAAAACATGATCAATCTTACTGAAGATCCAGAAAATACAAATTGTAATATCCCATTGTTTTGCTTGTTTATATTGATAAAAACTGAAAATTGTTAATATTTACAAGATGTTTGGGCTCAGTGGTTACGAGTAAGGACCCAAGTTCAGTTGTAAACACTCAGCAGCAGGTGGCTCACAACAGTGTGTAACTCCAACTCCAGGAGATCTTTGGACACAAATACACACACACACACACACACACACACACACACACACACACACACACTTGAGAAATGAATTTAAAAAAGATTATCAAGAAACATACAAGGAAATCGTCACTTTGGGACATTCTTGGTAAGGACAAGCTGGTGAAGCCTCTTTTTGAAAGACAGTTATTAGTACTGACCAAGATGAAGAACATACTACTTGATCTGTTTTATGTTTGCAAACCCCACTGGAAGTATGCCATATTGATATAAGGGTGCTCTGCCCAGCATTCCTTAAACAACTAGTAGATGAGATGTTGGACAGACACTGTCTCACATGTAGTGGCAAATACTGTGCACTGGTTAAAAAGACTAAAGTTTAAGTACACTGACATTTCAAAATAGGGAAGGATGGAAGGTGGCAGCTGCTTCCCACTTCTGCAGTGTAGAAAAGCCATTGGTAAGCTTGGTCTTTGGGTCATTTGCTTAATGTACAGCTGCTTCAGATAACTCAGTTCTGATCAGAGAGGTGAGGTGATTGGTAAGTGCAGTTTCTTCTCTGCTTCTGATTAGACAGTTACTTCTATTGCTGTCATTGTGAAGGAGGGCCCAAGTCTGGAGGAGCCAGTGACTAAGGTGAGAGCTTTGTGTGTCTGGCTATGCAGAGTGGCCTTATGCTTTCAGTTTTCTGTCCCTGGGTTTTCTGTTCAGGTTGGAAGGATGGCATTAGTCCCCATTGAACCTATGGGGCTAGCATCATGAAGTTTTGCATTCACCATCCAGTTTGAGAAGAAAGTTCATAAAAAGTAACCATTCAATATGTAATTATGAATAGCTCATTTAATTTAATAATTTAATAAAGCTATTTTTTCATAACTTAGGGCTTCTGTGAGCCAAGCTCATTTTGTGTGTGTTCTTTTTTACTTTTCCCCAGTTAAAACCTTTACTGTGAATTATTATTTAAGACAAATATCAAATGATAGTGACACATCAATGTGAACAAGGTTTTTGCTCATTTGTACAATCTTCTATAACATTTTAATGACAAAAGGACTGGCCATTTGAATGCCTCTCATGCTACTGCCTTCTCGCTGAATACTGGTGCTTGAGTCTTAGTTTCTTATAGCATCTGCTGTGTATTTTGTGTATATGGGTGTTTTGTTTGCATGCCACATGTATGCAGTGCCTGAGGAAGTCATAAAAAGGCACTGGAATGGGGTTACAGATAATTGGGAGCCTCTATGCAGGTTCTGGGAATCAAACCAAAGTCTCCTGGAAGAGCAGCAAGTGCTCTTAACTGCTGAGCCATCTCTCTAGACCCCTCTAGCATGGGGACTCACTCTGTAGACCAGGCTGGCCTCGAACTTACAGAGATCCCCCTGCCTCTGCCTCCTGAGTGCTGGGATTAAAGGCGTGGGCCACCAACACCCAGCTTCCCTCTACCTGTTTTAAGCATAGTGTGTGTGTGTGTGTGTGTGTGTGAGAGAGAGAGAGAGAGAGAGAGAGAGAGAAAGAGAGAGAGAGAGAGAGAGAGAGAGAGAGAGAGAGAGAGAGAGAGAGAGAGAAGACAAATCTGTTGTGGAGTATTTTGATTCCAGTCTGAACTCTCCTGAGACTGCCAATAAAGTTAGCTTTGAATCGGGAGGATGAAGCTAGCTACTAGTTGACCAACATTAGCCATAGATGTTTTGGAGGACGGAGGACAGATAGACACAGGAAGTCATAGGGTGGGCCTTAGAGAGAGAGGGCCTTTTTGGATTGAGGAACAAGAGAGAGGAGGTTACTGGTCACTTCTCTGCCGCTTCTCTGATCACTCAGGTTCTTACCCTGATATCTGACTCCCAGCTTTTTATTGATAAAGAATAATTAGGCTGGGCCGGCCAGGTCTACAAAGCTACACAGAGAAACCCTGTCTCCAAAAAAAAAAAAAAAAAAGATAAATGCTTCAGTAGTCTCCTATTTCCATGAGAGAGAAAGCCATACCTGGGCACAGTAGTATATGCCTGTAATCCTGGCACTTGGGAAGGAGAAGGCATAGACAAAAAGTATGAAGACTTGATTTCAAGCTAGCCTCAGCTATATAGCAAAATCCTACCCCCCAAAACAAAAACCCTATGAGATCAAGTTCTAGCCAGTCTATACACAAGGAAATTCATATACACTGAGGAGAAGGAGGGCTTCCTTATGGCAAGGACGAGGAGAAAGCTGTGCTGCCTCTTGTGATGAAGCCTCAGAAATGTAGTGGCTGTCATTTCCTGCAGTGTCCTGTGACTGTCTAGGCCATTGCTGTGAATGGTGGCCAGGCAGAGGGGCTACGTAAAGGCACAGATACTAGGAGTAAAGGCCCTTTCAGAAGCCACTGTGTAGAATGGTCCTGGGTCTGCCAGCAGATCCGGATGACTGAGACTGGGACATTATTTGGCTAATGACCTTGGGGCAGGCAGCATATAACATTTTAAGCATCTTCTGTTCATCTTTACAGTCTTGGGGACTGATGGAACAATTTTTAATGGGAAAATGGGATGCTCACTTTGCATTTTCAACTACACTCAAAGAGGTGGGAGGCAGGAATGTGACTATAAGGTTGTGGGTAGGGTCTCTTTAGAGGCTTGCAGCTTTACTCAGCCTGAGCATCTGGATTGAGCTAGAGCCTCCTAGTGCCTCTAATGCCCCTCCCCCATCATCCTTAAGCCAAACTCAGGGTACAGTGAATGGTGCTAGGGACTTAAGCTAACAGTCGCCTCACAGAGTATAGGAAGTATGTATCACTC